TACTATGTTATAGGGATTTGCTCTCAAATTTTTTAGACATTTTGGTATATATAAGTTGGTCCTGCTTCTGTCAGTATATGCCACTCTCTTGTTTACTGTTTCTCAGCCATCAAGGTCTTCTCTTTGTTTTTTGATCAGTCCATGATGTTCTTACAGAAAGGCCTTAGATGTATATATTCTGCTTTTCTCCATGTGGGTGGAAGTCTCTTGTCATTCAGTCTCTGGTTTTATATGTTTATTTCGTATCTTCAGATAGATGTTTTTTTGACTACTCTTCCTAAAGTAGCCACTCCATCATAATATTTTTTTAAAATTTTATTTGAATTCTCTGCTTGTCATTTGTCACTGTCTGATATTATTCTTACTTATTGTCCAAACCAAAACAAGCTCCATGGGAGTGGGCCCTGATCTGACTTGTCTGCTAATGATTTCCCACACTACAACCTGTTCTTAATGCCTGACACATAAAAGGTGTTCACTGAATAAATAAATGAAAATATAGTATATTTTGAACCAGGCAAAGGATCTGAGAAATTTTCAGTTTTTTCTGCTTGAAGAATTTAAATGACCCATAAAATAATTAGTGTTTCTTAACAAAATTTCTAGAAATCTGTTTTTTCGTTTAAAAAAAGAAAAGTTAATTTCAGTTTTAAAATTTAGTTCTTTGAGTTATTTGTACATGTATATCTTTAGGCTTTGTTTTTAAATATTTATTTTTCTTTTATTTTTTGAATTATCTCACAGCAAAGGATTAGAAGGAACCAGTTACCATGAATCATTGTACAATGCTCTGCAGTCTCTGAAAGACAGAGAATTCTCCACATTTTATGAAAGTCTCAAATATGCCAGGTATTACAAAAAGGCAAATAATTTTCTGTTTATTTAATGTCATGGCTTCTTTTTTCCAAACTTAAGTAATAATTTCAATGTGAGGATTTGCATTGTTGTAGGGATAAAGACTTGGTGGCTAGGTGAAGTGTTTCCTTGTCCTTCTGTGTTCTTCCCTCAAAAAAAAGTTTTCTTTGGGACCCTACATCAGTTCTTTACCCTAAGCTCTCAAGAAACACTCTTAATTCCTACTCCTTCCTCTAGTATCCTGAGAATTTAAATTTTATCTCCTCAAATATTATGTGGCATTTACTCTCTTAGCATTAGAGTTCAAATGTAACTTTTTTTGTTTAATAGTGATTAGCAACCTAATAAATCCTGCATTACAGCAATAATATTTGCTATCATTTAGGTACTTATCATGTGCTTAAACAGACTCTTTCCTAAGGCATTCTCTAATCTTAAAAATGAGTATGGAAATGAAAAAAAAATTAGGCTTAGTGAAATCCAGTGGTTTGTCCTACGTTAGACAGCCAAAGGTGACACAACTGGGATTTAGATTTAGGGCTATTTATCCCAAGGCCAATTTTTTTCCTTTGCTATTTCATATTCTCTAATGTTTGTGAATATTAGTATTATCAGATTAATAGCAAGATTATGATAAGATCTCTATAAATTCAGATTTGTACTTATATCTCCTTGAAAACCTCTTCTTATTTTTTTTTTGGATTTTTTGGTTTTGGTACTGGGGATTGAACCCAGAGGTATTTATTTCTAAGCTATATCCCTAATCCTTTTTATTTTTCTTATAAGACAGGATCCTGCTTAGTTGCCCAGGCTGGTCTCAAACGTGCAATCCTGCCTCAGCCACTCAAGTCACTAGGACTATATGCCTGCACCACTGTGTCCAGCCTCTTCTTTGTTTTCAAAGTTTGTTTCTTTTCTCTTTTGCTATTAGAATAAAAGAAGTGGAAGAGTTGTGTAAGGGCAGTCTTGAGT